ACTGCACTCCAGTCTGGGTGACAGAGTGAGACTCCCAACTCAAAAAAAAAAAAAGAAAAAGAAAACACGTGATATTTTTCGAGTAAGTTGGCCCAGTAAGTGGCACCTCAAAACGACTACAATAGTAATATCAAAGATCACTGATCAGATCACCATCCAGGTAAAATAAAAACGAAAGCATTTGAAATACTGTGAGAATTACTAAAATGTGACAGAGTTGAAGCGAACGCATGCTTCTGGAAAAACAGGGCCAACAAACTCGCAACACAGGGCTCCGAAAACCTTCAACTTGTAAAAACCACAATGTCTGAGAAGGGCAGAGAAAGGGAAGCACTGGCCCTCCTCCAGGCGACTCAAGGCCTGGCAAAGGCGGCCTGAGCCAAGCCCTTCCCAGCAGCCTCACTCTCAGCGAAGAAAAGGACGAACCAGACACGTGAGGGCAGCCTCGAACACACGAGAGACGGAAACGGGAAGAAGGAGAACCGCCAGGAAGAGCGGAATGTAGGAAGCATGAAAACGGTGGACTCGGAAACAGAAATGTCAGCGGCCTTGACAAGGAGACACAACACATTCAATAAATAAAAGCTGGATGCTGCAGACACATTCCAAGAAGATACGCCCTTGAGCACCGAAAGAGGGATGGCAAGGACTTTTAAAGCTTATGCTTAAGGCTGAAGAAGTCTCTGAACCCCCAGACAAAAAGGCAAAAAATGCCGTGTAAGACAGCTGAGGTCAGAGACGCACCAGACCAGGCCAGGCTGGGCAGGCACCAGCAGCAAAACAGCCAGACCCTGGGCAGCCCCACGGCTCCATCACAGGCTGGCAGGGAGGGGTTCTGGCATTTCAGACAGAGTACCAGGAAGCGCAATAAGAACCAGAGTGAGGGCAGGGAGTCGGAACAGGGATACTTCCCAACTACACAGTCTAGAGAAACCCTCTTGAAACATGGAGAAGGCAGCTTACAAATAAAGGGATGCAAAAAGACGATTCAAGATGAACACAGATCGGCTCCAATCACATCAGACAAAGCAAAGCTTAAACAAGGAAACTTAACAATTACAGAATGACAAGAGCACAACGCACCAAGAAGACCCTACAAGCATGTGCACCCCTGACAGCAGCGCGGCAAGACTTGAAGCCAGTGCTAACAGAACTGAAGGGAAACCAGACTCACGAATATACCTGGAGACCTCAATAGGTAAGCAGGGAAGAGGAGCAGCACAGTGCTGACACCACCAACCAAACAATTGTCATGACCATGTTTACGGAAGTCACCCAACAATGAAAGAACGTGTTCTCTGCAAGTGCACACGGGAGATCACCAAGACTGACCTTGGGTCACAAAACGATTTTATTAAATATAAGTGAAAGTAGGCCAAGTCTGTTCTCTAGCACTAACAGAATTAAGCTAGAAACCATTAACAGAATGGTATCTGAAAGATCTCCAAATACTCGGAAGCCAACAACACGCCATGGATGGGCCAAGGAGCCAAGGAAAGCCGCAGCCCCAGAGCTGGAGAAGGCAAAGAATTGCCGCTCACCCCCCTCCCCCCAGAGCCCAGCCCCAGACATCTTGGCTGTGGCCCTGAGACGCACCAACCCTTGCCTGGAGAGCTGCAGGACATGCGTATGTGAGCTGCGTATGCTACGGCAGCCACAGGAAAATGACAAGTTTCTCTTTCTGCAAGTTAAATCCCAGTTTAAAGGTCACTTTGTATTATTAGACTGTATAAATCTTGACAGTAACAATCCCAAAACATTTAAAAATTAATGGAATGTAACTCTGAAGTGTCAAAAGAATACGTGGACGCAAGATCGAGCTGTAAAAAGAAAGATCAGAAGGGCCTCAAGTGGGAAACACTGCTCCTCTTTCTCTTTTTCTTTCTCTAGAAGGGTCTTCGAAATCTCCTGGGGAAAGCCTAGAGTCACACCAAAAGCACTCTTGAGGGACTGCAGTGGGAGGAAGCAAGGCAACCTCTTTCCCCACAAGTGTGACCCCCAAACTTAAGTCAGAGAGGAGTAAGTTCCAGAAACGTGCAGTACAGTGCGGTGACCAGAGTTAATAGCAAGGCGCCTCACACCTGAAGCGTGCTAGAGGCAGACCGTGAGTCTTCTCAGCCCACTCAAAAGAGGGCTACTGTGCAAGCTGAGGGACGTGCTGACTAGCCTAACTGTGGCAATCTCTGCAGTGTGCCCAGATAGCCAAGTATCATACTGTGCACAAATTCTCTTTATCAATTATCCCTCAATAAAACTGAAAAAACACACGGCACCCAAAAAGGTCTCAAGGGAAATTAGAAAACTAATTGAATGAAAAAACAGTGCTTTGAGAGGCTGAGGCGGGAGGACTGCTTGAGGCCAGGAGTTTGAGACCAGTTTGAGCAACATAGCAAAACCCCATTTCTACAAAAAACTAAAAAAAAAAAAAAAAAAATAGCCAGGCATGGTGGCACACCGGTGGTCCCAGTCACTCGGAAAGCTGAGGTGGGTAAATCACCAGAGTCCGGGAGTCTGAGGCTGCAGTGAAGCTATGACCGTGCCACTGTATGCCAGCCTGGGCA